AAATTATTTACAAGTCGGAACCAAAAATCGCGCGGGAACCCGAATATCTCGAAAAACCAAACAATTCCGTCCTAAGTGAGGTTACGACCGTAAACCTAGTTTACGGCCGTAAACCCGTTTACGGCCAGTAAAGAGTGGACCCCCCACCACCGACCACAAAACCCCTATAAATACGAGACCTCCACCTTCATTTGAACATTTCTGGCCAAAAACTCTCTCCTTCTCTCTCTAAGAACCTTGACCGTAAACACCTAAAAACACCTTCAAACTTCGGGAAACATCGAGAAACACCGTTTGGAGTCACTTCGGAACGCCTGGAAACGCTTATCTCTTCGAAATCAGCACCAGTGTTCTTGAGTTTACGGTCCATCTTCAAAGACTGTAAACCCTGTTCTTGAGTTTACGGTCCAAGCCTTCAAAGACCGTAAACTCTGTTCTTGAGTTTACGGCCGTAAACTCATCAAGCCTTCAGAAACCGTAAACTACCAGTCGACCGTAAACCCTTGTTCACGGCCGTAAACACCTTTTAAGTGGTGCTTTTGGCTGAAAACCCACTTTCATCGATTCGATCAAGTCTCGGTAACATTCCTCAACCGAATACAAGTGTTCCTCTAACCCTTTATCTAACGAAATCACTAATTTAGATACATATGTACTTATTTGATAATAGGATTTCGTTAAGTGTCACGTGCAACAACTCGAGGATCTTCATTTCAGTCAACGCTTTCACACAACAACTGTGAGTTCATACCCCTACATTTTCCATGTTTTCAATGTTTTTAGGGGGGATACAAGCTAAACATAAATGTTTTCAAAAACTTATGCAAACCTCATACTTTAACCCTTTTGTGCTGTGTTGAGCATAAGGGACGTTTTCACTAAAATTGCATAGTTTTCCGGACACGCTATTCACTAAACATGCAAACTATAATCGGTATAGTTTGGGGAATTTTCTAAACATAACAAGTACAGAAACTTTCACTACTGAACATGTGCACTAAGACAGAAACAGTTTACAAATTACATCGCTACTTATTCATGGTATTCATAACTAAAATTATCACTACAAACAGTATACATTACGGATTTTCACTACGGTAGAACGCTATTACACTACATGTAAACTAGATTGTACGATACTGTGAGGCGCTACTTCACAACTGTACCCTTAGGTGTACAGGGATAAATCCTACCATAGTATAACCAGAGTCTCCTGGAGGGAGAGCGTGAGATTTGTGAATAGATCTATTCGGGACTGACAATCCCACATCTGAACTGCTAGCTACAGTTAGGCGGGCACGCCTGGGATGTACAAATGCCATTTAACTCGACGCCTGAAGAACGTTGGAAAGGTCTCTAGTCATATCAAGCATGGTTATACGACTCACAATATGTATAAATCACCTTTAGTTTACAACTTAACACTCTTCAACAGTTTTATTTACATTAAATAGAACTAATACACACTACAATTGGAGAACTTTCAGGGTTTTCAAACAGAAACGAGCATACAATGGTTTCACGCACGAAATACTATTACATCATGATTAGCATTAGCTAGTCACGTGAAGTAATAATTTCGCATATCACTACAGTTTTCAGTGACAAACATTCACGGTTTTATACAGAATTGAAAACACTACTTTCTCATTAAAGAAAATATCGGATTTTCTTGGAACTATACAAATATCTTACGAACTCATCAACGATTTTCACTACAAACCACCGCTTATGAACTCACCAGCTTTATTCTGATACTCTTTCAAACTGCTTGTATTCTCAGGAAATCAGTAGACAGGTACTTGCTGGATTTTCGAGGAACTGGAGAAATAAGAGTTTTAAGTTTATACTATACAAAGCTATTGAATGTAATTCAAACAAAGTTTCAGACAAAGTTTCAAACTGATGTAAACATTTTTATTTGAGTATTCACTGTACTGGTTGTGTTGCTATGATTGCTATTATTCATTGGTTGTGATGTTACACATGACGTCATCCGCCCCGGAACGTTTCCGCCATCGGTTTCGGGGTGTGACATAAACTTCCTATACTCTCCTTCTAGGACTCATTTCCACTTCGCCCTACTATTAGCCGATGAAGAACTTCTACTAATATTAACTAATTATTGGACGAATACAATTGGATGCCGCTAAAATCAAACAGTCTGTCGACTGGAAGATTCGACACTACAATGGTTAGACTCATACAAGAGTTGTGCAATAGCGCTAAATCAAGCAATCTAAAACCATTTAATTCTGGGAGCATGTAACCTAACATATTTGCCAAATAACTAATTAATATCAATATAGGTTCTAAGAAACAATTAACAAGCAAATCTCTAAGCTATAAGGCATCTTAATTATCGAACAATTCTATTTAACAATTCCTGAAAAGATCTCTAGCCTACATACTAGCATGCACTTCTAATATTTCACATATCAACAATCATAACAATATGGATATTTTGGAAATCACTTTCCTTTCTGAGGTTTGGCTGACTGTACACATCATATTATTTATTTTTTGTATTATTCTTTTTTATGAAAATGTTTATGAATTACTCAAATCCTTAGTTTAAGTCTGGAATCACACGAGTGTTTATCCAGCTCAATCAAATCAGGGTTCTGATACCAACTTGTAACGTCCTGATTTTCAACCCAATTTTTTCATTTTTGTTTATTCAAATATATCAGGGCTCGCTACGGGGTTTTTTGGGACGGAAATCGGTCGTCGTAAATTTCGTCGCTATTCGTCCTTTGCAACGGAATTTCAGTTTTTCGCAACGGAATCCTTCCCTAGCAAAATCGTGTTTTTCTTGTAGTGAATCGCACGGGCAGAATCTTGACCTAAAAGCTCTATCTCTCAGATGCTCCACGGTAGAGGTGGCAATGGGTCGACCTGGATTGGGTTCGGTTTAACCCATTTAATTGGGTTGTAAATTTCAACCCAACCCAACTTGTTTATTTAAATGGGATGATATTTCCAAACCAATCCAACCTTTTAGATAAATGGGTTGTCACCGGGTTGACCTATTTATGTAGTTTCCGACCCAACCTATTAAATAAATGGGTTAAACTTTGGTTAACCCATTTAAAATCAATTAAATAAATTATATAATTAAATATTATACCACTTAAATTATAAAACGTAAATAAAACTTCATAACTATGACAAAATCACAATCCTAATTCATAAATACAAATAAATTGTTCAAATAACATTAAAAATGTTTAGTTTCACAGTGATTTTGGAGAGTAACCAGTATTATCGACACTAAAAAAGGATGGAAATTAGGATTGAATTTTATTAAACATAGATAATAATAATGCAACATTATAATTTACAAATTAATACTTTGATTAATACATGATAATATTCAAATAATTATTAAATTAAATATATATATTAAAGTTAAATAGGTTGACGGGTTGAAAACGGGTTGATAACTTTTACCCAACCCAACCTATTTAATTAAGAGGGTTAGACGGGTTGACCCATTTAAGTTAAATGGGTTGAAAATATCAACCCAACCCGCTAATTTTGGGTTGAGTTTGCGGGTTGGGTCGATTTTTGCCAGCTCTACTCCAGGGTCTTATTGAAAATACTTCAGAGCATAGAAAAGTCGGAAATCTAGAGGGAAAAAGGTTCTCTAGAGATAGAAACCCGAGTGTGATGATGTGTGGAATGAGGGAGGCACATGACAGTATTTATAGGCGACTTTTTGGGAAGCGTATCGCCCCCTAGGGTGACATCGAACTATTCGTTGCTTTCCACGTGTCGCTTACCTGTTGGTCCTACGTTGCGCCTTCTAGAAGTGCATACCGTGCGTACGCACGTAGCGTAAAACGTGAATTTTGTAAGTTCTGTAACTTCTTTATACGAGCTCTATTTTTGAAGTTCTTTATATTCGCGCATAGCTATCGACGAGATCTACAATTTTCATTTAGAATCCATCGGTTAATTTTCACTTTATTTTTAAAGTTATATTGTTAACAGGCTTAAACTGTTAAAGTCCGTATAAAAATCATAACTCTTTCATACGACATCCATTCCCGACTGTCTTTATATCGACATAATTGTATCTACGAGATCTTCGACTCTCGTTTAGATTGTTTCGGCTAACAATCAACCGATTTTTGTTTCGATTTCTGTGTCGCACATTGTTGCGCTGAAACTTCTAAAAATTATAAATTTCTCATATGAAGTCAGATTTGGACGTTCTCTATATGCACACTCTTGCTTTTACGATTACTATGACTTCCATAAAGAATATTTATCCTAAATAGTCCTCTATAAAAAACATCTATTTACGTAACTGGTTGTTTATACTGTAAGACAAAAATGAGGTGTTACAACTATAAAGGTGTGTATTCTAGTTTCATTCTCTTTAGTTTAAGTTGTAATTGATTGGTAGAACATATATCTATGGCTGGTGTATGGTGATTATGTTTAAATGCTTCTGTTTTGCGCCTTCGTGGCCTTTTTAGATTCCCCATAACCCAATATACATACATTGTAGAAAACTATTAGGTTTCAAGTATCGACACAATATAGTTAGGGATGTTCTCTTTGATGTATTTAGGCATGTCAGGGTTTTCGTTAAGAAAGAAGTGCATGTGAACTTTTTGACTAACTCATTGGAAAAAAGATCAACGCTCAAACCTATTGATGTTTTAATTTTTGGATGGGTTGGAAGGAAACACGCATATATGGATCTTACATGGGTTTTCTCTCTCGTAGATTTGAGGAGTGAGGGTTTCACTATGGGACAAACTACTTTGAAAACTACATCATGCAAGGACTCAAAACACGAGAAAATGTACATAAAAAATCAACACATGTTTATACCATTCGTGTTTGGTACTTTTTGGTTTCCTTGCACCAGGGCTTGTAGAAGCTCGTCAATAGAGTCCAACGAGTCATACGTAATAATGTCATGACCTCAGGATTTATAGATGTAGTTTTCAAAAGTATTAGTTTTGTCATTCGAAAAAAAGATAATGGTATAACTTGGTGCCCGTTTGTCTTCCACCTTGATGTAAAAGCTCTTAATTTAAATATTTTATATAAAATTTTATAAATAATAAACTAATTAGGTCAAGTTGGTGATTGAAATTGGTTTTGAAAAATATATATACCATTTCAAAGGTTCTCCTAAATATAGTGCATTATTATTAGTAGTTAAATATTGTATTTTCTATCCCCATTAAAACTACAATACCCTTTTAAGATGCCATATGAACCTTGTTTTTAGCTAATTGTCTATTATCTTCATTACAAATGCACTCGTAATATTGATAGAATTCTTAATGCATTAAGTGGCAATTTTTAATTCACTTATTGACAAATTGGTTAAACTTTCAGAAGTTAAGGGTACAAATTAAAAACATATAAACATAAGGGCTCAAATTGTAAATTCCGGTAGTAGCAGTTGAATTGAAAGAGTAATACAAAAAATAATGTAGTGATGTATGCACCCTACTTGTGCTGTGCACCCAATTAAAAAACCTAGCTGCCTTTCTAGACCTAAAATCTCCAATTTACATAAACCTTTCGTTACCAATTTGTACAACATGCCTTAAAACTTATACAAATATCTGGATTTGCAAATTTTAGCTCTGGAAATAAGCTATCAAAAAATAAAAATAAATACAAATAAAATTTGAGTATCCAGTAGATATTGCAGCAACTGAGACCTTTCAATCTTTTTCTATCACCATGCTCAAAATTTAGAAATACGGAGTTAAGGTTGAATTCTAGAGAGAGAAAGTAAGAGTAAGAGAGAGAAAGAGAGGTTTAAGGGAGGTTTTTAGTTTAGGTCTACCAACTGGTTGTTAGAGATTATACTCCTTAACCAAACATCGTCGTCAACAGCTCGTTTTCTAGAGAGAGAAACATATACTTTTAGAGAGAGAAAGTGGTGAAAGAAAGAAGAAGGAAGAAAGGGAAATCCATCGAAGAAAAGATCAGATAATAGCTCAGCAGCTTAAACACATACACACAGTGACACACATATGTGTATATGTATATAGATATAGAGAGAGAAATTTTCTTGCTTTCTGCGACATATTTTTTCTGGGATTTTCATATAGATAATCACAGAAAGAGAAAAGGAAACCATATATATATACATACATACATATAAGAAGAGAGAGAGTATGTGGGGGGTTTTCACGTGGGAATTGATGGAAGAATGGAAAGATTTTAAAAGAAAGTTATGATTTTGATGTATCGATTGATTGATGAGTGATCATAAAACACCATCATCCTCATCTATCATCATCATCATAATCATCAAAACACTCACCTTGTTTCATTAAAATTTCAGAACTGAATTCAGCAAGTTCTTTCTCTCTCTCTCTCTACCCTTCAATGCTGAGTACTTGTGTTTTCTGAATTCCGGGCAGTTCGGGCAGAGTCGTATTAATTGATTGCGATTCTGAATTTGGAGACCCCATGTGTACATCTGGTCTTGGGATCATCATCATCAACATCGGTGTACATGAATTCATGGAAATTGCATCACAAAATTGAAGCTTACTTGTTCCCCACAACCACACACCCATGACTTAATTTCAGGTATTTTTTTTTTAAATTCATATATTCCTAATCTGTTGACTTTTTTTGCTTCCAATATCTATCTCATCATCAAGAACACATTTTTTTCTTATATGGGTTTTCTTGATTAATTTCCATTAACCCTTTTCGATTTTTATTCTGTTGATCATATTTTTCAAAGATTCATACAATTGAGTGGATTATATGGGTGTTTACTTGCTTTGTTCATCTTGAAATTGATCAAATAAAAATGGGTTTGTTTCTTTAATTAGTTTCCATACAAAATGTTTGATGATGAATTGAGGGTATTTTGGGAATACTGAAAAAGAGTTGTCTACAAATTTACCTTGTTTGATAGCAGCAAAACAAACAGGGAATATCTCTACTACTACGCGTATCATGTGAGGGTTGCGTACACAAACAAACATCAAAGTACTTTCTTTGTGTTGCTTTTATGCTTATGTCCTTCTCCAACCATTAATACTCCCTCCATCTTCTGTCTTCTCATTTCATTGTATGTTTGTTTCATAAAGATTCAATCTTTGTTACCATTTTAATGATTTCACTTTGATTTTCTGCTTTTTGATGAGCCATTATATTTCATTTTTCAATTTTCACCTTGCAAGATTGAACTACTTGGTAAAAAAAACGTTGAAAAAATATAGTTTTCTTTTGCCATGGCTAATAATTCAATCCCTGTTACCATTTTAATGATTTATTGTACATTATCATGTTTTTGTGTTATTCACAAAAAATGATTTTTTATGTAAATGTTAAGCATCATGATTCAAAATTTCAATCACTAATGTAAGTTTATCAAAAGAAATCCTTTTTATGGTCTTTCCTACTTTAGGGGCATGTTTGGAGCTTCTAGTTTTTAGCTTTTAACAAAAAGCTCGATTTAAACAAAAAGTTTCATTTATGGGTAGGAACATTTAGTTTTTAGTTTAAACAAAAAACTTCAAATATAAAAGCTACTCCATGCAACGTTTAAGAAAAACTATTGAGATTTTTAAATCAATTTCCATCATTTCCCTTGAAATATATTTATATATTTATCTTTTTTAAATAATTGTCTTTTTATGTAATTTTATACATTTTAAAAGTTTACAATTATTTTTGCCAAACACTCATATAACAAATAAAAGCTATCAGTTAGTTTTATCAAACACGGCTTGCTAACTGCTAAGTTCATTAGTTTTAAAATTCCAATCATACAAGTTTATGTAGAAATGTCATATATTAAATTGTCTCTCATAAAGATTCTAACTTTTATACAGAATATCTTGTGCTACTTTATATATTGACTTTTCAAAGTATCTTGTTTTATTTTTTGTTGCAACAAGCTCCAAAAATATGAAAATTAGACTTTAAAAAAACAAATATACGAAATTGTCAACTACAATGACTTTTATGCATTATTGTGATAATTCGTCCAAAATTTTACATTTTTGCGATTTGTATTATTTTAGCATTTTTACAATAATTCCAAAAAAAAATTACGGATTCGAACGCTGTTACATCTTTTAATGAGTCAATTCAATGTAGAAATAGTTAATTTTCTTGAAATGTCCATAAAAATTAAATTAATTTTTACATTCAATGGTTTAATTTCTTGCAGAAAATTTATTACAAATATTTGAAGAAATGTCGACTTACATACCAAGTTCAGAAAATGCAAGAGATTCCGCTCCAATGCTCTACTTAAGAGAGCCTCTACAAGATTCTTACTCATCGGAATCACCAATTCTAGCCGGAAATGTCATGATGTACATGAACTTTTCATCAGCTTCCACCGGAGGCGGAGAGTTTTCCGGTACTCTGGCCGGACCTTCCCAGCAGCCCAACAGCTGTACCGACATTCCTAACATCGGAGTCCATGATTCCAATGTTGTCTCACATCAAGAATTCCTCTCAAGCATGGGGGGATCATGGAGAGACGGTAGGAATCACGAAATGATGTTAATGGATCAAATGGGTAGTCGAAACTTGCAACAAGGGCAGGGACAGGGACAGGGACTATCACTTACTCTCGGTTCGCATATTCAACCGACCGGAATCCAATTCCATTCCGGTGATTACAGGAACCCAAACATATTCTTCCGGCCGGAATCCAGTTCCGTAATAACTGGTTTTCACGGAAACAATTTAGATTCGATCAAAACAGACGTTTCTCCGTATGGAATCGGAAATGTTTCGAGGGGAATCACCGATTCCAAGTACCTAAAATGCGCACAAGAATTGCTCAATGAAATCGTTAACGTCGGAAAAGCTCTAAAACAACAAAACTCACGAAAGGAATCCACCGATGACTCGAAAGGAATCGATGATGAATCGAAGAACATTATTTCTCCAAATCAAGAATTAAACGAACTCTCAGCTAATGAAAAACAAGATTTGCAAAATAAAACAACAAAATTAATCTCGATGTTGGATGAGGTTGATAGAAGGTACAAGCAATACTATCATCAAATGCAGATCGTTGTATCTGCATTTGATGTGATTGCTGGATGTGGGGCCGCCAGGCCCTACACATCACTTGCTTTGCAGACAATTTCGTGCCATTTTCGTTGTTTGAGGGACGTGATAAATAACCAAATAAAAGCGGCTCAAAGAAGCCTCGGGGAGACTGAGTCCGTCGGAAACGGGAAAGGAATTGGGATTTCCAGACTTCGGTTTGTGGATCAACAACTTAGGCAACAACGAGCTCTTCAACAGCTTGGAATGATACAACAACATACTTGGAGACCACAACGAGGCCTTCCGGAAACTTCTGTGTCGGTTCTTCGTGCTTGGTTGTTTGAGCATTTTCTTCATCCGTAATCACTGATTCCCTTCATTTTTATACTACTTTTTTTTGTAATTACATTTTAATATATATTATTTACTTTATTTGTTCAGGTATCCTAAAGATTCAGACAAAATCATGCTAGCAAGACAGACAGGTTTGACTAGAAGTCAGGTAAATTATCATATAATTGATGTGGCAATGTATCTATACTTACTCCTACGGCACTAAAGTTCCATTGGGGATTCCAATTCCGATTCCGATCCCAATACCATTGTTTCCTAATGGATTGTGTGATGGGCAGGTTTCAAACTGGTTTATAAATGCGAGAGTTCGTCTATGGAAGCCGATGGTGGAGGAAATGTACAAAGAGGAAGCTGGAGAAGCCGGAATGGAATCAAACTCATCATCGGAAATCGCACCCAAAAATGCAAAAAGAGATCGGAATCCTTCCGATGATCAAGGAGAAACCGCAGCCTCCAAATTAACAAATCAAGCTCATGACATTGACATGGTGGGAACAAGCAATGAATCAAATTTCCAAAACATGATGGTTAACAGAGGTGAACACGGGCGGCTCATGGCGGCGGCGTATCAGATTCCGGGAAGGTTTGGAAACGGAAATGTAGGTGGTGGTGGTGGTGGTGTTGGTGTGGGTGGGGTGTCGCTCACATTAGGGTTACAACACTGTGAAGATGGTAGCTTACAACCAATGGCTTCCAACCATCATCATAGTTTCGGTGGTGGTGGTGGTGGTGGTGGTGGTGTGTATGATGCTGGCGGTGGTTCATCGGTGGGGCCAGAGACGGTTGACTTTGACTGTGTGGATTCAGGTAACCAACAACAAAGATTTGGATCGTCTCACTTGTTACATGATTTTGTAGCATGAGAGTTATTAAAAAAAAAAATCTTCATCTGTTATGAAACAGGAACTATATACATGTATAATTGTAAAGATAAGATATATATATATATATATATATATATATATATATATATATATATATATATATATATATTTTTTTTTTTTTTTTTTTTTTTTTTTTTTTTTATTTTATTTTATTTTATTTTATTTTATTTTATTTTATTTTTTTTTTTTTGCTTTAGTAATAATGTAGATTTGACTTGTATATTGTCATTTCTTACAATTTGATGGCCAAGAATTTGTTGAGAGATTTGAGCCATGTAAAGATTTAAAAACTTCTATAATTCTTTTTAAAATACCAAGAAAAAATAAGTCTTGAATGAACTAAAAAGATTGTAGTTCCAATTGGATAAGTCTAAAAAGATTGTAGTTACTCAATACTATTTTGATTTTATCCCTTAATTATATCAACTTTTAAATTTAAATCTTTATTTTTTTCTCTGACTAATTAATGTAATTTACAGAATACACAAAATAAAAAACGAATATTTTTTATATAAAAAAATATCAATAAAAAGCATGTGTCCGATTAAAATGACACTAATATCAAATATCAAACCAATCATATAATATTTTTACATCTTTTACTTTTATAACTACATACTTAGTAGTGCTATCGTCTTTTATTTATTTAAATGTTTAATGTAAAGTAGTTTATTTTTATTCTTTTGAGAAATATGACGTGTGTTTAGAAGACGACAAATTAGATGAAGGGTCTTTATAAAAGGCTTATGCAATAGAGAAAGTTAATGATAATGGGATTTTGCCATTTTGGTTAGTGGAAAGCGATATAAATATTAAATCTTTGAATTGGCTATGCATTATCATCCATACACATATGATACATAATATACTTTGCAAGTTGTTGAATATTGTTGTATTTTGTTAATTGTCTTGATATATTTTGCAAATAGTTTAATATTGTTTGTAATTGAATTAAACCAAAATGACACAACCCTCTCTACTTTCTTTAACTAGAAAATATAAAGCTGTTATATCAAAATTAGGAGGCAATCATTAATACCAAGGAAATCAGATTGTTTTATACCTACCAAATACATTGCATATCCATAAGACATGATATAATAGCAAAAAAAGATCAGAATCCAAGAATATCACATCTAGTAAATATTAATTTAAAAAAAAAAATTTACCTAAAGCCTACCAACCACAAAAAGTAGCTTCTAATTTAGAGAAGAAATATCAACATGGTTCTCCTCACCACCCATCATGATCTACATATAACACATAAGAAACCAAAATTAACACCAATGAATACCAATATTGTTCATAGACAAAATTAAGCGTAAGTTACATTTTTGGTCCCCGGGTATAGCTGATCTTTGCAACTTTGGTCCCAATAAGTTTTCTCTTGCAATTTTGATCCTTATTTGAGGTTTTTGTAATGTTTTTGGTCCTCTTCCAGGTAAAATGACTATATTACCCTATTCTGTTTTTTTATAATTGTTATTTGAGCACCATAAACATTACAAAAACCTCAAATAAGGACCAAATTGCAAGGGAAATCATTTTGGGGACAAAATTGAAAAACATAAGCTCTACTCAGGTCCTAACATGAGGTTTTTGTAAAGTTTTGGTCCTCTTCCAAGTAAAATGAATATTTTACCCTTTTCATTTTTTTATAAATATTTGTCATTTAAGAACCATCTATGTTGCAAAAACCTCAAAAATTGACCAAATTTTAAGAAAAAACTTTTTGGGACCAAAATTGCAAAAATCAGCTTATACTCAACCACCAAATATGTAACTTTGCTCTAACAGTAATTTAACTAACCTAAAAAGTTCTCTTTTAATCCCAAAAAGTTTTCTCTTTCAATTTAGGCCCTAATATGAGGTTGTTGTACAGTTTTTGGTCCTCTTCCAAGTAAAAATGACTATTTTACCCTTTTCAATTTTTTACAAATATTTGTCATTTAAGAACCATCTATGTTGCAAAAACCTCAAAAATTGACCAAACTGCAAGAGAAAACTTTTTGGGACCAAAATTGCAAAAATCATCTATACTCAAGGACCAAAAATGCAATTAATTCTACTAACCTTTTATACAATGCAGTTACATCTTCATTCAACCAAGAAGTTTCAAGAAACTCATCCCCACAATCTTTAACATCAATCATCTCCATTTCAAACTCATGATGCCCACAATATTCATTCCACTCAAACCACATTTTAGAAATAGACTCCTTTTTAAAACAAGTGGTGTGATCTTCTTCTTCAGGTGAATTTGCAGCAATCAATCTATAAGTATAAACCTTCCTTAGCTGCCCGGGTCTAAAAGCCCGCCCGATTGCTTGTCGGGTAACCGAAGGGTTCAAATGAACATCCAAAATTATAATTCTTGAAGCTCCAACTAAAGATATTCCTTCTCCACATGCTTTAATTGATCCAAAAAACACTTTTGCTTCATTAGAATTGTTGAATTGATCCATTGCTATTTCTCGTTCATCGTTATCGTGGTCCCCAGTTATCATGAAAATCTGCTTTCCTAAAGCCCACCCTTTGACTTTCGTGGTCAACCTTAGCAAGAACTTTAAGGGTAAAAGATATTGACCAAAAACTAGAAGCTTTTCGCCTTTGGATTCACATAGGCGAAGTAGGTTGAGGAAAAATTTCGCTTTTACCCCTTCTCTTTCGTTTATATTCTCCAAAAGTTCATCGATTTTGTAGACATTGTCATCGAGTTTTTCTTTGTTTATGTTTTTGGCTAAACTTTTTAAATCAGGGTGGACATAAATCGCGCTTCCATCTGAACTTATTTTGAATTTTCTTGCTAGTTTTTTTAATTCTGAAACTTCCCTCTTTTGCCTAGGGCTAAGGTTTAAAAAGACAGAAAAGTCCATATGCCCAGGTAAATCCAAGAAATCTCCTTTGTAGTAATGAAGGACTTTACTTGTCATTTCACGTAAATCCTCAATAACTGTGACTTTTCTCTTGAAATTTTCATCTTTAAGTAAAGTATGTTCAACCAATTCATAAAACTCATTATCAGTGCTCTTTTTTAAAAGATTTCTCCTGCTTTCAATCGGAACCCTACTCAAGATTCTTCTTTTTATCATCTTGGGATCTTCAAGTTTTAAAAACTTAGGGCGAACAAGATTCAAAATATTGAAAACTTCCCTCACATGATTTTGATAAAGGGTACCTGAAAGTACAACCTTTCTTTTGGTTTCGACTTTTTCAAGTGAAGTCAACACATCTGTGTCTTGGTTTCTTGGAGTGTGGCCTTCATCTAAGATGAGAATCGTGGGGCATTTTAGTAAAATCTCTTGACAAGTAAGGGAAATGGAGCCTCTATCGTTGTCACACACGATTGTGGAAAACTGTTTGTATCCTAAAAACAAAATGGATCTTTGATTTGTCCATTGTTTTAGGACTTCAAGTTGTTGGGCCCTACCATCTGCTTTTGATGAGTAGAAATCAAACACTGGAATGTCTTCAACTTGCCATTTGTGAATTTCTTTCTTCCATGTTGCTAGAATGCCTCTAGGAAGAACCACTAATGGTCTTGCATCTGGATCTTTTGCCATGTAACTTTGAATGAAACTGATGAGCAAAAAGGTTTTACCAGATCCTGGTGCGTGGGCCAGGATGCATCCACCTGGCTTTTCAGAAACTAAATTGCTTAAAAGAAAATTAAAGCCTTCAACTTGATGGGGTTTCATTTCTTTTTTATGACTCGGGTGAGCTGTTATTGATGCATCTCCCATTGAGAAATCTTTTCCTGGTAATTTCACTCCATCAAGAACAATGCCACCTGGCGCCCCTTTATCAGATCGCCCTTCATAATAGTAAGTTCTTGTACTCTTTGATGCCTGTATTCAAATTTCAAATCAATATACAATAACTATAATTTCATATAAAGTTTTGATTTTTAAATGAGGACCTTGGGGCGTTGAAACTCGATTATGGATTCAATACTTCTATCAACTACTCCACAGACACGACAAACATACCCAATGTCTTCTTTTAATATAAAAGAATGGTCACATTCTTGTTCTTCTTCTTCTTCTTTTTGATGTTGGATAGATGGAAATGCCATGTCAGGATCCTGAAAGAGATAAAAGAGTAGTACATGGTTGATAAATTTATACTACAAGTGTAACTTTGAGGAAGATAACAGATGAATATTTTCATGTTTACCTTTGAGGATTCCAATCCAACGTTCATTTCTTGCCAAATATCAGCAAGCCCATCGAAGTCGGCTTCGGATTGTGAATTACTCTCTTCCACATCGGAATCGGAATCAACACCAACATAGACACCTTTAAAGTGCTTTTTCTTTTCAACATCTACATCATTATCATTATTTTTCTCTTTTTCATCTTTTGACTCGACAACAATATCTGTAATTGTATTCCCTTCTTCTACACCTTCTCTTTCTCCTTTTCCTCCTTTCCCTTTTCCTCTTGGTCTCCCTCTCCCTTTCCCACCCCCACCACCATTCCCATTCCCACTCCCACTCCCACTCCCACTCCCACCCCCTACCCCTACCCCTCTCCCTCCTCCTCCTCCTCCTCCCCCTCCTCCTTTCCCAACTGAAGCTTGACCTTGACCATAATCTCCCTCCTACATGGAGATAAAACCAAAACATCATATTTATCCAACACGTATTAATTCAAACCAGAAATCTTCACTGGAATCCCAAAAAGATTTAGGACAGCTTACCAGAAATTGTTTCATTGAAAACTGCCCTTCAGGCTTATTCAAGACTATGTCTCTGTAAGGTTGAAAAGGCCTTGCAGATGTGGGTTCATCATCATCTGACCCTATGATGACAACAGAATCAGGTGGATTTGTATCATGACCCATGGCCATGGCATCATCAAACATTACCACATCCCTCACAGGATTTGCAACTGAAACCTCCTTCACAGGATTTGGAATCGGAGCCTCCTTCACAGGGTAAGTGTCCAATAAATCAGCCCCAAGTGAAGGATACCTTCTAAAACAAGGCATTAACGTCTGTTTTCTTAGTGAAAGAATATTTTCTATGTCTTTTGTAACAGACCCATATTTAGGTGAATCGAAGCTTGCCACAAAGTTTCTAACACCAAATGGATCATTATAATCAATGGTTTTCTTTTGCTTCTTTGCATCAAATGTGCACTTAGTGTACAGTGGGTTCGGAGATATGATTTCTTCACCATTGCTCAGTTGTCCCTTGATTATTTCTGAAACAAACATACAATACACAAACCAAGGAAAGTGAGAAAATTTTGCATCTAGACAACATTTAGAAGGGATATACCGAAATCATTTGCAAAATTGACAAAATCGAGCAGGTCAATTGCGTGATCATCCCAAAAAATTAACAAATTGAATACATAAACATTTATGTCTACATATACATGGTGAGAAAAAAAGAGTACCAGAGGGTTTAAAGCTTGTGCTATAATGCGTGTTCATCCGGTCTTCGACGTCCATTGACTGTAACAAAAAGGGGGGATTATAATTATATGATCGATAGAATCACATGCATTTAGGTTAACAATCACCCGTTCAACGTATATAGACGACACAGCTGAAAATCGACGGAAGAAAACATGTGGGAAATAAACCCTAAACATTTGTAACAAAACCCAACAAATTAAAGAGGATAATGACTTACATTGTTGATCCAGCGGGATTGCTACGTTTGTTTAACGATTCTTCCGGGTGAACAGAAAGATTAGAGAGAAAAGGACGGTTGAAGAACAGCTATGGGGGAACTGAAGTGAGTTTGGAGTCGGGTGAATTTTGATGCAAAGCAGGGAATAAAACAAGCAAAGGCTTCGGGGAACTGGGAACTGGGAAGCCTAACGGAGCTTTGCAGATTCTTTTCTTTTATTCTTTCTCACTTTAGGTGTTGGGTAGTGGTGTTTGCAAAATTCTAAAAAATAGAAGGACAATATTAATATTAGCCAATAAATTATTAAGTTTGGTTTTAAACAGTGTTAAATATTATTATATTTTTTGTGCATTTTGAATGTGTAAGCTTTAAATTTTTGAGTTAATAAAGTTATTTTCTTGAAGTTGTAGGGGCCATCCGATTATTAATGTCTTTTTCTAAATATTGATAAAATCGACGTTGTGAAACCCGAAACCTTTATTTTATAGTTGTTACGCATATTTTATTTATATGACGATCATAATGTCATTTATTTTCTTCATCAAGAAGGAAAACATAGGAAGTTCATTAAGGATATAGGGTTGTTATCGGTCGTCAGAAAGAGTAAGTCATTGAAGTTGTTCTTTCTTGTCTTATATGATCTCGTTAAATAGTTTTTAAAATTTTAAAAAAAAAATCATTGATTTTATTTGGTTTATTGTTGTCATTTATTGTGTTTAATGTACACATTTGTTTTTATAGTTTGTGGATTTTAAATGATGTCAATAGGGGTTCTTTACTTGGGTTTTTGTAAAGTATTCATTCTCATATTTTGATGGTAGTAAGTTTTTATTTACTTGATGTTGACTTTGTTTGGATGAATTTGTCTGGATATGTGACTTTCTTTAAAAGGTTCAGAATATAAAAACTTTACTATTATGTCCCTAATGAATACATTTATTTTGGTATAAGATACATAAAAAATGAATTGGATTATGCAATCTTTTTGGAAACTACATCCATGGAGATTAAATTTCCATGTATATTATCCATGTTGGTGATGAGTTATAGGATTTGTTTGAGGGGGATAAAGATTAAGAAGTGAGTGTTGAAGAAAATAATTTATGTATAAAGGAAGAAAGGAATGCAGATATATTATTAATCAATTTCTCAAATGATATTAATTTAGAAGATGATGTTATTTGCATGAACAAGACAAATATTGGGTAAGTTATGTGGCTATGAAAAAAACAAAATTTACAGGGAAGAACCAAACCCTTTGATGATGAAGGAAATGTAGATGATCTTGAGCCTACATGCAATTTTTTCGTGGACATTTACTTCACCACCAATTTCGTTATCATCATCAACATAGGCTATGTTCTCATCATCAATATGTTCATATCTTTCATCCAAAAACTTACATTGGTCTTCACAAGTTGTGTAAAAAGATCACATCTTCCCTTTCATAATCTATTAGTATATTTTGACAAAATCACACCATCATCATACTCCACTTCATCATCAAGGTCTATATTCTTCAACTAGTTTATAACATGTGGAAACTACAGTTATAAAATTAATTAAACCTTCATAATAAAAACTCAAAACAATTAATCAATTATTTTAAATAAATTATTTTAATTAAATTATTAATTAAGAGATATTTTTTAGTTATATAAAATTATAATCGTTGATTTAAATTAATACGTGGCCATATAATCTGTATTAAATTTATTTTAATTTTTATTTTAATGTTACTAATTTAATGTAATTAGAGTGAGAAATTTACAATTTGAAAATTGAAATAGAGAATCAATAGATTGACAAGTGACATTTCATTAATTAGTAAGCCTAATAGGGTAACACATGACAAAAAAATAATAAATCTATTCTTTTATTAGAATAGAAAGATTTATTACATTGCTTCCTAATGTCATTTCTTTTGGTTGTTACTTCCCCAAAAACCTTTAACATACTTACTAAAATGGTTTCTACTTAATACTCTTATATGGCTATGTATGTAAGGAAGATGCTATTGAGTTCTGAAATATATATATATATATATATATATATATATATATATATATATATATATATATATATATCCTCCTTAATAAATGAAGGTTTTTTGCCACATGTCAATCTCTTATGAGTTTTGACACTTGTCATTTTGTGATATTTTTTAAATAAATATTATCCATTTGTCAATTTTTGGTTTGTTTCATTTTTTAAAATTAAAATCATATACTTATATATGTAAAGTATTAAATATCATATATGTGATATTAAATTGCAATAAATGTTTCTTCATTTCTTATTTTAAAGTTGTACATTAAAAAATATTTTCTGTTTATACTTTAATTTAATGTTTAATTTTTTTTTAAATCAACCCGTATAATACACGGGTCTCACACCTAGTATATATATATATATATATATATATATATATATATATATATATATATATATATATATATAACGAGGCTATGTTATAAATGGGTAATCAAATGGTAATCTTGAAACCAACACTTTCAACCAAATAACAAAAACAATGTTTGGTTTAAAAAAAAAAAGTTTTGTTTACTTTAAACGAGAAAATGTAAAATTATGAGGTCGATTTATTTTCATAATGTAACGTCTGGTTCCCGGCATTTGTGAGAGTTTGTGAGCCATTTTTGAGGGAGTTTTGTGTGCTTGAAGCTTGTGGAAGAAAGAGAAGCTTGGAGGAACGAGGAGGAGCCATTGGATCCTGAAACTTTGCTTCATTTTCATCACTTTTCTAGTATAAAGCTTGAACCTTGCATTGTTGTTGTTTAGATCTTCTTTTGGGATTATTTAGCTTGGTTTTGGCTCAAATATCATGGTCTTTGGGAGTTGGACGTCCCAAATGAGTTAACACTTAAGATCTAGGGTCTTGAGGGGTTTTCATGGCATAAAGGTGCCAACTTTATGGTCATGGAAGTCCCATGCAACCTTTAGACCATCATTTTGGCCTCTTGGAGCTTCTAATGGCCTTTCATGTAGAGAAATCTAGGACTTTACGTGATCTTTCAGTCCCTAGAGTTCAGATCTTTGACCACATGGTCTATCTTGTAGTTTTGGTGGTCTTTGGATGAAGACTTTGGCCTTTTTGGGTTAGGGTTTGAGCTTAATATCATTAGGAAGGGTATTGATGGGTAAATGTAACGCCCCATTTCTGGTATGTGATTTAAATAAAGTAATTTTCATTTTCTTAAGGGATACTCGACGAGTCTGTAGCCCAACTCGTTGAGTAGAGACGGGATGATCACGCATTTTAAGTTGGCTACTCGGCGAGTCCATATGAAGGGACTCGGCGAGTCTGCCTGTCTGGATGAAGCCCTAATTTCAAGGGTTTGTACCCTATATAAACGTCATTATAGCCTCCCACCCCAGCCTCCAGCACCTTTAGAGCATTTCCCCTGTAAACCCTAGCCCCCATTGTTGAGCTTGAGTGTGTTTGTGCTAGTTTGGAGGTTTTGGGAGAGAAAGAAAGAAGGAAGGATCCAAATGAGAAGAAGAAGATCCAGAGTCTCTTAATCATCAGCCTCACATTCTGGTACTAAAGCTTGTACCTTGCTTGTTATTTCCATTTGATAGTCTTGTATGCTTAGATGTGCTTCTTTTTGGGACTTTTTGGATCCAAACTCGAGATTGGGACTCCTATAAGGAAATGGATCTTAGATCTGAGTATATTTGAGCTGTAGGAGCTCAAAGTAGCTGCCTTTATGCACCTAAGGTCGAGTTCCAAACCCTAAGACCCCATTGTTAGCTTATTTTGATGTTCTAGCCTCATTTCTTCATGCATGCACGTAAAGTTGGAAACTTTACGTGTAAAACCAACCCTAAGAGCCTAGATCTATGATTTGGAAGCACTGAAATCGATTAGAATCGATTGTATAGTAATAGCATGCTTGGGACTCGGCGAGTTGTTCTTCAACTCGGCAAGTTGTTCTTCAGGCTCGACGAGTTGTTCTTCAGGCTCGACGAGCTGTTCTTGCGACTCGGCGAGTCGCAGCCTGGACATGTTCATATGATGAAGGAGAACTCGACGAGTTGTTCATACAACTCGGCGAGTCGGATGAAGTTAGACTCAATGTATGTATCGAAGAAGAACTCGTCGAGTCTTCGCCAAACTCGACGAGTTGACTTTGACTAGGCTTGGACTTTGACTTGGACCAAGGTTAACCTTAAGGGGTTATGTGTATGAAAGGGTAATTGAGGAAATTTTGTCACACCCCCGGACCAGACGGCGGAAACGTCCGGAGGTGGGTGACTTCATTGTGCAGTATCATAACAATTAAATATAAATGAAACAGAGCAATCCAAACATCATACATTGAGATAACAAACTTACATTGTTTACATATTGTATTTGTTCTTCGAATTACACAAAAGAGACATAAGCAGAAAAATCCAAATTACAGCTAATTAGTCCTGCATCCGTGCCTCTTGTTACCTGCTTACTAGATCCCTGAGAATACAAGTCGTTTTGAAAAGCGTCAACTAAAAAGTTGGTGAGTTCATAAGCATTTTTGTATAATATCGTTTACACTTGTTTTAGAATCGTTCTCATTGTACTTTCAGAAAATCCGACATTTTCTATGAAATCGTTTGAAGTCTTGCCTTGAAAATCATGGATATATATGTGTGTATGATATTACTTTTGTTCATCCTTATAAGAAGTGATTTTGAAAAATAGTGTGATTTGTAAAAGCGAGCTGTGTCCGAGAATAGTTCTTTTGAATAGTAACAATCAACCGTTTCAAGCAAAATCCCTTATTTTCAAAAAGGAAATATGGTTGGAAATCTTGTTCCTCTTATCGAGTAAAATTGAGTGTGTGTTCTTGTTTATCGTTATCGAAATCGTAGAAAAATCGATTTCTCCAGAAAATCCTATATTTTCTGCTATAAAATAATCGTAAGTTCTAATTTATCGTTATCGAAATCGTAGAAAATCGTCTTCTCCAGAAAATCCTATATTTTCTGCTATAAAATAATCGTAAGTTCTAGTTTATCGTTATCGAAATCGTAGAAAATCGTTTTCTCCATAGAGTCCTACGCTTTTTAATTTGTGAAAATAGCAGTATTACGACTCTATACTTGTTAGGAGAAAGAATCAACATGGCAATTGTGGACATTCTACGCAATGAAAAAGGACAGTCAACGCAACAAATGCGGACCATCACTTATCATGTATATGACGGTCAACACAACAAGCCAAAAATTTATTTATGAAGTTTTTCCTTACATAAATTTCTAGATGACATAACATATTCTAGTGAGTCGTTATAACCATACTAATCTGACGAAGTGCTTGTTTTGGCGTTTCTCAGGCGCCCTCGGTTTGGAAAAGACATTTGTCACCCTAGACTGGCCTGTCTAGCTGTAGCGAACAGCGAAGGTACGGGGTGTCAACCCCGTATAGATCTATACACAAATTCCCGCTCTCCCTCCAGGAGACTCTGGCTATAACTCCTTACAGGACTTAGACGTACA